ACGTTTCTATGGTAATATAATTTCGTTTTCTAACTTAGACAGGTTGTTATTGACATTATTTTAATTAACCTCATATTTTTTTGCTGTTTTAAAATGTTAAAGTTTATTTTATTTAACCCTTAACTCGTCCTCCTAAATGGTTGACTTTTGACCCAACGTTTATAAAGCAAACTACCCTTTATTTTGAACAAGGAATCACCCCCTAAAGTTTTTCGCATTTGTTTTGAAACACCCTGTATAATTTATAGTTTTGTCGTTATTATGATCGTCGTTCTTCAGTAACAGGTTCCTGATTCGTTGCGGAGCGCGACGCGACGTTACAAAATCGCGTTACTCAAATACCGATACATACTAGTCACTATGTATTTCAAGCCGTGGGCTGTCCTTACCATTTTTCGTCTCGCCAGCTCGTGTGTCGCGGCCTTGAATTTTTACTCCCAGCGCGCGTAAAGAAGTTTCACTTCAAAACAATATTAACCCTTAACTGGTCCGGCGTCGTCTGACAGACTACGCCAAATAATTAACTCATTCTCATTAGTTACTGGGACCGCCCACACAATTGGCGTTCCAGCTAATCCTTCCCCTCTCGGTCAACGACTAATAGCCATATTTATGCCCAAACTGGATTAGTTTTTTAGAAGTTATGGCAAAAGATACTTAAGCCGTAGTCTCTCAGACGACGCCGGACCGTTGTTGTAAGATTTTGTGTGTGACAAACTTTCGTAAAATATAGCCGGGCCTTCGAAAAGAGTGCGTTTAGGAGACTCTAGTTATGAAGAAACTCTATTAAAATGATATGATGAGGACTGTGACAGTGACAATATGACAATCTGCCAGACAAATGCGTTTGACAATGTCAAATATTCCAAGAGAGAAGTCCACTTTACAATTGGTAGAATACTTGCAATTCTTGTACAACCAGAACACGCCCATGGAAATATTCTTATCCTAGAGTTCTTATCCTAGTTAATAGACAATGTTATGTCCTAGTTAATTATTTTTAATGCCTAGAATGTACGAATCCATTTTGTAAAACATGTTCAGGAAATCAATGAATTTTGCCTCATGCTGTAACTAAAAACCTTTTCTTTAACACCAGTTTTATAACTTATTTTTTTTAAATATAGTATTAAAAACTTATTTCTGTATTGTAAAGACTGTTAGTACTTTAGTTTTATTTTTTAGAGCTTAGTAAAAATCTAATTATTTTTCTTTTCAAATTTATATGTATGTTATTTTATTTTGTACTATATTTTCTTAAAGTTTATATTAATTGAACCCATTTTTGTCTAGATTAGTTCAATCCTACATAATATAATATATAATAAGATAAAAATTTGTTATTTTTTAGTTTTTGTGTTTTTTTTACTTTTTAGAACGCGTAGTCCCATAGACTACGCCGGACCGTTTATGATACATATCTATTACCGGACCAATTAAGGGTTAATGCTACGGAAAGGGTGATGATAGTTATCGGAAAATGAGATACTTTAACAACCGCAAAAAATATGACATTAATCAAAGTTAATACTAACCATCTATCAAATAATGAAATCAAAATTACATTACCATAGAAACGCCTTTTGGTTTTTAGAACTTTGAAAAAATTCAACTATATTCTTATGTTTTTTTTTCTAATTTTCTCTAAAACTTTATGAAAAATTTAAACGGGATTAACCATTTTAGAACAAGCAAAACTTTTTATGAGGAATGCATTTTTGACAAAATTTCACTAATAAAAAACGTTTTTACTCTTGTAAATACAATTTAGAGACATACTGTGGATATAGATACCCCTGTTCTGAAGCACAAATATCTTGAATGGTTTTCTTGACAATATGGTGAAGGTATATTGAAAAATGTTATCGTTGCTTTTCATCTTTTGAATGGTTTTCTTGACAATATGGTGAAGGTATATTGAAAAATGTTATCGTTTCTTTTCATAGATTAAAAAATTACTTATTATTTAAATACGCTATATTGCTTTGCAATTATTTGTAACATACAGGATTAATTAAAACTAAATATATCATCCTCAACTAAACATAACATTATTTGAAACAAAGACAATTTGTATTAAGTATTTAGTGGTATTTAGTATTTTCATAAACTTACAATAAGTTAGTTTGTGGAAGTACGTTAGGTCTTTGGGTAACAATAAGGTGACAAATAACTTATTTCGATTTTTCGGAAACTTAATAATGTACCGTGAAGTGGGGTGACTTTACCCAATTCTGAATTTTAAATCGTGTTTATTTAAAAAATTGTTGTATTATCTCAAATGCGCATGGTCTATGCTATAAGTGGTAATAAGGACAACACAACAATAATACGCTTTTTTGTTTATTAAACAAATATATATATATAAAAAAAGAAAAAAACTAGATTGGCAAAGTTAGTTGCTTATATGGGGTGTCTTTGCCCTCTTCCTTATTCTTATTGATAGACCAAAGCCACCCCATTTAAAAGCATAATTACGTAAAATATGCTTCATCACCCTCAATATTATAACGAACTTCTGCATAATACTTACCTCAATATAGCGTGGTTAACTATTGCAGCCACGTAGAAGTTTGAAACGCACAAAATAGACTTTAAAAACAGATTTGGCTTCACAGCACTGTAAATGCTACATCGCAACTGTTCCGAGACGTGGAGCGCCTCCACCCATAATTTACCGATAACACATAACGCGTTCTTTTCTACTACGGCTACGTCTAACATATTTTCGGACGGAATTTGGCAAAGTCGCCCCAAGAGGCAAAGTCACCCCATTTCACGTACGACTTGTAGGACAAAATAACAGGCTCAAGTGACTAAGTACCATGTTTTTTATGAGTTCTGTTATCGAAGTTATAATTACTTGTTATTCTATTATAATGAGCTGAACGATTTTTTTTCTAGACAATATTAGGTTAATATGATTGCTTTGTTGTTATTTCTTTTGTATTAGAGTTGTTTTTTAGGGTTCCGTACCCAAAGGATAAAACCGGGAACCCTAATACTAACTTCGCCGTCCGTCTGTCTGTCACAAAGGTCTATCTTATGAACCGTTATAGCTAGACAGTTGAAATTTTTACAGATAATGTACCTATGTTGCCGCTATAAGAACAAATACTAAAAAGAGAATTAAATAAATGTTTATAAATAAAAAAGTACTTTCACTAAACATTATTTTTTAAGTAAGAATTTTACATAGAATCTTTTAAGTCTTCGGCGGCCGCGTAGTTAAAGCGTTAGGACTACCCTTTGAATAAGAAGACTAAGGAAGGAGCATAATTCTATCCATGTATTCATGCATGGTGGGCGGAAAAAGCGCCATAAAAGCACTCTAGGGTGGGGATCCTTGACAGTTCTGTTTGAAGATTCATTTGATACATTTGAATTTGATTTGAAATTTTGTGGATTTGTCAGTCTTTATGGAGCTTATTTTATGTTATTTATTATTTATTCTACTACTGATAGTTGTATAAAGGTAGTAAATCTAGATGGAAATTGTGGCAGAACTTAAATTAACAGTGACACTATCGCGATTTATCGAAAAAGACTTTAAAATAGTTGGTTGTGTAGCGTGCGGTAGATCTCGGCAAAAATTGAGTGAAATAATGGAACAACTTTTCGCTAGTAAGTGACTATATAATATACATACGTGTAGTAAACCGATCATTTATGAAATTCACTTAAATTAACTAAATTATTTATTTTTCTTGCATTTTAGCTTTTATTTATTACTTGTCAAAGATTAGATGTCAAAGAATTTAGATACGTTAATTTGACTTACCTGCTTCAGTAGCGTATCGGATGTTTGTATTAATAAATACTTATTATAACTTATTTATTTTTATTAGAATTATATATTTTTATAACAATTTTAATAACTACCAACATTTATTCACAACGTAAAATAAAACAACAAATTATTGAGTCTACCCCACGTCTACCCTACATCATAGTTTTACATTTTTTAAATAAAATTAGAACGACACTGATAAACCGGAATTTAAGTCGGCCATATTTGAGGCCCATCGCGGTGTACCTAAGATTTTTGATATGCTCCTTCCTTAGTCTTCTTATTCAAAGGGACTACCCTACTATGACGTTGGAGCCGTAGTAAGGCAGTGTCGAATCCTAGCCAAGGCGACTTTTTTTTAATCGTTTTTTTTTTAATTTTTACATATTTTTACATATTTATTTTTACTTTTTACATATTTTTTATTGATTAATACAATTTTTAGTAATGTGTTTCTTCATTTTTTTTTAAATTACTTATACGCGCTTTCAAAATTTCAGCTAAATCGGAAAAAAAGTTTATAATAATATAGAGTCTAATGTTGTATAGATAATGAATGGTAGAGAACCCTTCGTGCGCGAGTCCGACTCGCACTTGACCATTTTTTTATATTATAAAAAAACAATTTTTGTATTTTTTTTCCTCGAAGAAAACATCTATATACTGTACTACACCTATATTTGATTTGTAGGTATTTTAAATAGTTTTAAACAAAATTTAAAACAAGTAATGGTATTTTAAACACTTGTTAACTAATTATAGTCCATTTTGAATCTCATTCACAATTTTAGATTTTTTGTATTATTATAACATGCAAGGCTTCAAGTTTCAATAATCTTGTACATACCTACGGCTTTAACAACTTTTTATTAAAACACCAATTACGATAAGAAAAAGAGATAAATAAAACAAACACCAATCAAAATTTATTAATACAAGACGCTATCGCCTGCTACATAACTATATTACGCTAAACCCATCCGATAACATCCTTTATCAAAGCCAACACTATTGACCTCTGCGACAGATAACGCCCAAGCCAGAAAGAAAACATTTACCAAACATCGCGCCTATTAACTTCCCAAACCAAACCAAAAACTTAAAAGGAAATTAAATAAAACGAAAGCAATATCACTGGCTTGAGAGCGATAATCCTCCGTCGTACAATCGTATACGTGAAATGAAATCATTTTATTTGGTTACGTTACAGCGAACGAGGAGGTGGTCATAGCCTAGAAGCGCAATTCTTGAAACGCGTACAAACGACGGGTTTCCTTCTTCGAGGAAGAAAGTACTCGCTGGGCTTCGAGCAGGAACCATCGAAGAACAGACCGATTTTCAAGGAAAACCGAAGAGAATTATCGCAAAACATGTGTAGCAGCAACAACAAGGCGGGAACAAACACGTATATGGGACTGGATTTGAGTACGCAACAAGTAAGTGACATAGTAGGCCTCATACTTTAATCAATCAATCAGCTGATAAAGCATTAAGGCGGGTTGATACCACCTTATAGGTCTGTGCATATTTTCATACACGTATCGCTTAAGGAATGCAACGTTTTCAGAAATATTTATTTATGTATCATAGGAATTATAAAAGTGTTAATTGAGGTGTTCAGAAGAGAACTGGATCAAGTCCTAGAAGATAATTATAGGGAAAATGAGAGTTAACATTTTTTAATATTACTTAATTAAAATAAAACAAGCTGGAGAAGAAAACTTGACACAATGCTTTATTATATTTTAAATTGTATAATTGCAAACTAAAGCAACTCAAAATACAACTGTGGTCATTTTTAAGAACGTTTGTTTATACTTTTTTGGACTTGAGCCGTTTTATCTCGAAAATATTTGAAATTTTAGATATAAATTGGTTGATCGATACATTCTTCTTCGTCATTAAGGGATTTGTTAACTTCACGTTGCCTATTAATAGTGTTTTCTTCGATTTTTATAAAAATTATGGTACATAGGCGGGATAAAGGGAAAATGAAGAAGATCTTTCGTGTGTTCCTTTACGTCTACATGAAATGATAAGATTTTTCTTCCTCGTGCAGTTTTTTTAGATTAACAACATATCAGATATCTAAGTATTTTTGTAAGAAAAAAGCCTAACTTATTAATGTCGTAATAGTTGAAATAATGATAAATCAAACTATACTTTCAGAATCGATAGAATCAGAGACCTTTCAGATGGCTGATAATCCGATTCACTTGACGCAAATGGTTCAGACTTTGTTTCATTTCAAGAAAATTGTATTAATTGTTTTAACATTGGATATATTGCAAATCTTGTTACTCAATTTTCTCTTTTTTCTTTTATATCCAGTAGTAGTGCAATTTTACATATTTTTTTACGAGAAAAATGGGAAAACATCACTTTACTGAAGCAAACTGAAACGCTTCATCTATATGAATATGTGAATACACGGAAACGATACGTGTATGATAATGTGAACAGACCTTTAATCTAAAACGTTTTTGTCTCGGGTTCGTTGAGGCATCACATGAAAACAGTTTTTGTCAAAAACAATTTTGACTAAAACTCTTTTGATCTTTCGGTGTGCGTCAAACCATATAGTTCTTAAATAATTTCTATATATCTACAAAATAAAATAGATATTTTTAGCCGACCATACCAACAGGTATCGTAGGCTATTAAGATCGGCAAGAAAAAAGTTTTTTTAATTCCACTCAATGACCTAAATAAAAAATATTTTCATGGTGTCTGTCTGTCTGTCCGTCTGTAACATGATAACTCAAAAACCGCTAAACCGATTTTAACCAAATTTGGCAAAAAAATGCTGTGGCATCCGAGAATCTAGCATTAGTTTTTGGTGGGGGTGAAGGGTTGTTAAGGGGATATGGGAGGGGGTTAAACATTTTTAAAAATCGTAACTCCAAAATTACAGTAGCTAGCGAAACGCGGTTTTCAATTTAAGATTACGAATAATATTTGGAACAAAATTTGTAATAACATCAAAATCAGTCAAAGTCGCAGCTTTTGAGATATTCCGTGTTTCCGTAGTCCCTTTTTGAGAAAATCCGTGTGGAGAACTCCAAACTCCCATCGGACGCGACCCCAGGTGGCGGATAGAGGAAATAACCGCGGACCAAAATTGGAAAAATTCCTTTAGTTTGAAACTAAAAGAACTGCCTACCGATTTTTTATTAACATATTTTAGTATGGGCGGCATATACGTGCCTCCCGGTGCCAACTTTTTGTACTAAACACCACTGGGTTGAATCCAAACGGAAAACCAGCTTCTCATTGTTTCTTTTTACAAGTAAAACAAATTTACCCACACTCTGAGTTATTAATTTCGGAGATACGTCAGAAGTAGTATAGTGTAAATTGTCCTTAACATAGACTAGAGAATATTTCAAGGAAATTAACAAGTTTGGGACATTTTTTCTTTCAAATTCATAAGAAAAATTAGTGTATTGACACGGTCAGATATTTTAATATGAATTTCGATCAATTTTGAGAGTTAAAATTAAAATACGCAATTGGTATTGGTATGAACTCGACTTTAGCTGATTTGTTTACATTGCATTTTACTTGACAATTCCTGCAATGTGTTAACCAGTTTATTTTTTCTTCGCATCATACTATTACTATTTTGTAGAATATTTGTAGAAATTATTGTACTAGTTAAAACGATGTTACGTTCTTACGTGACTCATAAAATAACAGCAGTTTTCTGTTTTGTATCGACGTTTTTCTTTTCTATGTTCATTAAACGGGAAGAACTTGATTAGCCTAATAGCGGTTTTTCTTAGGGACGGTCCACAGCTATCGATACATAGAAATGTCGATAGTTTAAAGAAAAAACTGAATTACGCAGAATGGATTTTGGTAAATTAAAAAAAAATTAAATAAACTTGATTAACTTCACTTTTTGTATACTTTTTGTCGCCTTTTGATGTGTGGTCTTAACATCCCTATATTACAGTTAGGAGTTGGAATCTTTGGTGTTTTAACAGCAAAATAAAACACTAATTTACCACAATACACTAAAAAACCTTTAATTTAAAACATTGAACGCGCGTTACTCATTAGCAGATTATTAAAACTAGTTTTAATTATCGCTGATGATGACAACTTAGTGCCATTACTCGCTGGCGAGTATTTGACACGCATCAAAAGATCGTCACGCAAGACCGCAAGATGTTTTCTTTTATGAGCTTTTCTGTGACTGAAAAGCCCGATACGTGATGTTATCTTCTGCCTACCGCACTCCGGACATTCAAAAAACTCATTGCTTTGTTACCTCTTTATTTTTTGGTTGTCCTTGTTAACTGAGTTTACAATTCTTCTCCATTGCATTCTGTTGTGCGCTGCTTCCTTCCGCTGATTCTGCGTGCTTATTCCCTTTAAATTTTTATGGAAAATATCCTTGTACATTTTGAGTTGTCTACGGTTTCCTCTTACCCTAAAGAAGAGATTTCGGTAGGCGGTTTTCTTGCATCCTGCATACGTGACCAGTCCATCTTAATTACTAAGGATTTAGTAATTAAGACTTCAGCGCTCTCTCAGCTAGCTTTTTCAAGGACCGGTACGTTTGAGACATGGTGATACCATTTGATTCTTAAGAGTTGTCTAAGATGTCTCTGTTGCAACTTGTTTAATGCGTTCATGGTGCGGCGCCTAGTAGCCTAAGAGCTGACGACATATTTAGAGAACATATTTTAGGCAAGCTAGAATAACTTAAAATGTATAGTTTATTAACTGGTGAACCCAGAATCCTAAGTCTGACTGGGGGGTTGGGGGTATTTCGCTACTGCGCAACCCCTAACATTTGCAAAAAAATAAATCCAAAAAACATTCTTTAGGCAACTTGAAATTTGTTTATTCTTAAATTTTAGCATCTATTTAACCTAGAAATAAGTATGCCAGACTTTTTTTTCGGGTTTAAAGTGTAACCAGACCATTCTAAATATGTTTAATTATTATACCTAGAAAACATACTTTAGGCATTCTAAAATTTTTACAGCGTGTTTATTAGATGATATTAAAAAATATGTGTTAATTGCCAGACGAATTCAATGGGATTTAATACTTGCCAGACGCGAATAAAGATTTTAAATGAGCGCGATAAGAAAGTCTTATGAGTATCTATAAGCGCGAGAAAGATAGTTTATTGAGACCCGGTCGGCAGCCGATGCGGCTGACGTAACGGTATTTTGGAGTACTTCAAATTTTCATAAAAACAATTTTTTGCGGTTTCATTTCAATTATTTGCAGGCTTTTATTTCATAGATTATTTTGATTATTTTGTTGGAGTTAAGTGGTACAAATAGATATTTTAGTAACTACTAATTTCGCTACTAACTAAATCACAATGGATAAAAGCCATTTAAATTGTGTAGTTTGTGAAAAAGTTACTAGTGACAAAGTTATCGTTTTTGATGAAGGCAGATTGCAAAAATGCAAAGAATTTTTAAAAGTGCGCCAACAACATGGCTTAAAATATAAACAAGTGGTTTTACCAGAAAACGTAGTCCTGACAAAAGGGTACCATGTATAGTGCTAAAAAAATAAGTATTCTGGAATTTTATTAAAGTACCATTGTTAATCTTTCTAAATAGATTCAAAAGTAAGTAGAAGTGCTTTACTTTTATGCTTAGGCGTTAAAATAACTTTTTTATATTGTCAATCAGGTCGTAAAAATTAATAATAATATAATATGTCACAAAAGTATAATAATAATTATACTTTTGTGACGTTTGAAAAAAATATTTTTTATATTATGCTAATTTAAAATAATTATTCGTCTTCTTATTCTTTCAGATACAAAATACTTAAATTAAAAAGTCTTCTTATTGAAAGGATTTCAATCATACATTTTTATTAAAAAATGTTTCTTTTTATTTATTCAATATTAGTAAGTTTTTTCTAAGTTTTTACGACTCCAAAATGCTGTTACGTCAGCCACATCGGCTGCCGACCGGGTCTCAATAAACTATCTTTCTCGGGCTTATAGATACTCATACGACTTTCTTATCACGCTCATTTAAAATCTTTATTCGCGTCTGGCAAGTATTAAATCCCATTGAATTCGTCTGGCAATTAATACATATTTTTTAATATCATCTAATAAACACGCCGTAAAAATTTTAGAATGCCTAAAGTATGTTTTCTAGGTATAATAATTAAACATATTTGGAATGGTCTGGTTACACTTTAAACCCGAAAAAAAACTCTGGCATACTTATTTCTAGGTTAAATAGATGCTAAAATTTAAGAATAAACAAATTTCAAGTTGCCTAAAGAATGTTTTTTGGATTTATTTTTTTGCAAATGTTAGGGGCTGCGCAGTAGCAAAATACCCCCAACACCCCAGCCAGACTTAGGATTCTGGGTTCACCAGTTAATAAACTATACATTTTAAGTTATTCTAGCTTGCCTAAAATATGTTCTCTAAATATGTCGTCAGCTCTTAGGCTATAGGTTTTGCTTCCATGTATCAAGGTGAAGATTATTGCTCGGTACACTGCAAGTTTCGTTTTTGTGTTGAAATCATGACTGTAGAAAACCCTGTCTTTTAATTTCCAGAATGCTCTTGAGGCGCTGCTAATTCTATGCTGGCCATAACGCTACCAAGTACATAACACTTATTTTGAACCATTACTAATTACTTAATTTTGACTATAAAATGTTTTATAGTTTCATGCGTCATTAGACAATAGATAAATTCGTTACACGTACTGTCGAAAATATTGAAATTTGATTTACGTATCGATTTTTTTCCTAAAATGGACATACCTAGTTTTCTGGTAGATTCATAAAAACTGTTTAGGCCTACTATAGACAATACCAGGCCGAAAAAATAAAAAATAAATCTAGTAGGTGCATAATACAGGAGTAGTTCTGCCTCTTTTACTCATTCTATACAGGTCAAATTTAATTAATCAAAAAAAGTATCTGTTCTTAGCTTTCTAGGCTAAAAAATACTTATATCTATTTTCATTTTAATGACAGTGGAATTAAATTTAGTGAACAAAAGTATTGATTTTTTTGAAGACACCCTTTGTTTACTATTCATAGAAATGTTGCCAATATTCTGCATGAATATCGTAGACATCCCTTTTAACAAATAAAATTTTTAAATATACCGCAGTAAAAATTTAAAACTGACGTACATATATAGTTTTTTTTTTAATTTTCACGTGATTTCAAACGTGCTAAAACAAATAAAAATATTATGTTACAGGAAATATTAATTAAATGAGGTGTGTGTCTATAGGCCCGCTCAAGCATATCTTAAATAAACATTATAAACATTTTTATATGAATTGATGGATGTTTCTAATTTTGATTGATAGATATGTTGTTTACAAATAATATCAACAACATTACAAATAAGGATGTCAATGAACTAATCGAAAATGCAATTTTCTTTCAAAAGCCTAAATAACAATTTAACGAAAAATATTTTGCCAAAATCTTTAAAACTATAGATAAACCTATAATAGACGCCACCCTGTATATAATATAATAAACGATTTGGATTTAGTTTAATTAAATTTATATAGTGTATCATTAAACTATAACGTTCCTTGCTTAATATGTTTACAATATTTTTGTAAATAAGCAGTAAATTTTGAGTTTAATAAATTAATTATGTAATAACAATTATTTGATATAAAATGGAATATTCTTATTTATACACACTGTTTGTGCGTGATTATTTTTTTTGTCGCTAAAACTCAGATTTGGGTAGTTAAGATCATGACTATCAAGTTTACTATTTTTAATCAAATACATAATAGATCTACAATACGAAAAAAACGGCGTCAGCGATAGCTATAAAATGAAGATCGCTGTCATTTTCTATGTAAAATTATATAGAGAATGTCATCGATCGTCCTTCCAACTGGACGCCGTTTTTTTAACCATACCGTATTAGATATGATAGAAAGTCTTTCATCAATATTTATCCTAATGTTAATATGTATTTTAGGAATCTCTAAAAGCCTTTAAACAAATTCTAAAAATTAATGTACAGGGTGGGTCAAATTCGACGCTTTTAAAGGGAAGCACCCTTTTCTATAGGAGATAGACGAAAACTATTATCGGTGTCTGGAGCTGAAAGTTAATAATTTAAGAGTTATCAACAGAAAAATTGATTTTTTATTGGGGACACCCTGTATATTTTTAATTAAGTCAAAAGAACTTAAAATTACCTTTCCAAAAATGTAGCACACTTCTTCGAAATACAGAATTTTTATAAGTTCGCCACTTTTAACTAGTAGGCTTTGAACCCCTTATTGATGATCTGCCCCTAATGGAACTCGAAAACATATTTTTCCAGCAGGAATTTTTAAAAACTCTATATCTCGAAGAGGAATCGAGCAAAATATGAAGTATGCTATATTTTTGGAAAGGTAATTTTAAATTGTTTTCAACTAATTAAAAATAGGCTGTACTTAAACTGCCGTTAAAAGGTAGCTTACTAAAATGCCGTTAATAGGTATGACGTCGTTGATGTGACGCACTTGACGGCTTTATGATATATAGGAATTTTATAAGGACTAACCAACAATATCCAATATATATCCAATCATACGCATATATTTAAATATTGAAAGTTTAAATGCTTATGTATTTCCTGTCCAATTATTTATTTTGATATAAATTTTATTTTATATGTCTTTGTTTTTTTCAGCTCAAAGCAGCAATAATAAACGACAAACTAGAGATTCTCTACGAGGAAGCTGTTAGTTTTGACAGCGATTTACCTGAATTTCGTACTCAAAATGGCGCTGTCATTGACAAGGCAGATCCGCAGTATATTACAGGTAAAAAACAATTTGAACAAGTATCAATATGATCAATTATTGTAGTAAAATTCCAATAAGGTGTAAATGATCTTGATCATTCTGTAAATGTTTTTAAGACATTTTTTTATAATAAAAAAATCATGCATTATTTGTTAAAGGGTTCTGACCTTTTCAGCCCCTGTGATGATGTGGGTGAAGGCTTTTGATATTCTATTGGATAAATTAACAGTGGCAGGAGCGGATTTTACCAAGCTGACAGCACTCAGTGGTACAGCGCAGGTAATAGCACTATGATATTATTTGCATCGTTTTTATTCAATATCAGCACGGAGGAGAATTTTTTGAGCCAATGATATTTTTTTATTCAGCAACATGGTTCTGTTTACTGGCAAAAGGGGGCGGAAGACACCTTGAAAAAACTGAATCCTAGTCAATTTTTACACGAACAATTGTCACACAGCTTTTCGGTGACCAATAGTCCTATCTGGATGGACGCAAGCAGTACAAAACAGTGTAAACAGTTAGAAGATGCAGTCGGTGGACCAAAGGTAAAATATAAAGTGTTGTTTTGATTTTGGTATACTAATTTTGATCGTGTAATTACTTTATTACAGCTTCCTGTACTGAAATTTGTCATTTTTTAGGAACTGGCACAAATCACCGGATCCAGGGCTTATGAAAGGTTTACCGGGTCTCAGATAGCCAAAATATACCAAACAAGACCAGATGCGTACAAAAATACCGAAGTAAGATACCTTTACTTACTTATAATTAATATATAAGTGTAAAAATATATACAATACCATCGAACTAAAAAAAATCGGCGTCACAGTTAGCTTGGCAATGAAGATCTTTGTTATTTTGTATGTAAAATTATATGGTGAATTTCCAAGTCTACTTGCTGCCGATTTTTTTTTCGGTCGTACAATAGTTTTTACTGCGAAATATATATCCCATCAAAAATATAAAATTTTGAAAAAAATGCCACAAAAATGTTAGAAAAAGTTGTGAAATCTCATGCATGTAAAACCAAGTCAGTTTTTTTAGTTAGTGTCTATAGTAGGTAGTTCCTATTTTGTTATAAATATGTCTAATATTGATACTATGGAATGCAATGCCGTACCAAAATCTCAATCCCGCAAACCCGCGGGATTAAAGCAAACAATCCTGCGGATCCGCAAAATGGCGGGATTGTCACAATAAATGCTCTTCTTTTCTCTCTCCGATTTGGGGATGCGGTTTTGGACCAGGTTTTAGACGCATCTATTGGGATTAAGATGCTATGTGGTTTTCGAAAATATATTTAGCGAATTCTCGTATACAGGGTGTTTTATAATAGTGTCCAAATTTGGTCAAGATTTTTTTTTACCGAAAATTTACAATTTTTGAAAAATCGAAATTTTAACTATGTACGACTAATCTGTATTGAAATTAGAAAAAAACAATTTGGTGTTTTTTTTTAAATTTTTTGTTTTAAGGAAAATACGAGCTTTTTCGAAAAATATGCATTTATAATCATACATTTGGTCCTCAATGGTACAAAAGGCATTGTACATTTTGCATAGGTCCACAATATACTGATATAGGGTGTATCTTAAACTAGCTGTACAGAAATTTGGACCGATGTATACAGGGTGTTCAAAAAATATATTTAATATTAAATAAACTTAAATTTTATTATAATTTATCTACTTATTTTATAAATAAAAATATTATTCTGATGTTGAAGGTTTTTTTCAACTTGTGTTAGTTATCTGCTTTTAGATACACTCTATATCAATAATTTTTTGGCATATGCAGAATGTACAAAGCTTTTTGTACCATTTAGGACCATCGTATGTCTAAAAATGCATATTTTTCGAAAAAACGTCATATTTTCCTTAAAACATAAAAAATAAATACCCGATCAAATTGTTTTTTCTAATTTCAATACAGATTAGTCGTACTTGGTAAAAATTTCGATTTCTTAAAAATTGAAAATTTGCGGTAAAAAAGATTCTTAACCAAATTTTCACACTCTTATAAAACACCCTGTATACGAGAATGCGCTAAATATATTTTCTAAAACCACATAATATCTTAATCACAATAGATGCATCTAAAACCTGGTCCAAACCGCATCTCAAAATCTTTTTTAGTTAAAGAGATATTCAACTTTGAATTTACCCTAAAATTTGGCTTGTCCCGATAATTATGTCCGGCAGTTTATTTGACGAAATTGTTCACAAGGACTAGTTAAACGCTTTTCTTCACTTACCCACATACGCCAGAAAGAAATCTAACAACTAACCTGTTTGTTTCACTTATTTTTAATGGCCAAGCCGTAAGGGGAATCCCCTGGTGTCGATCCCGCACGGTAAATCCCGCAAATTTGATTCCGCGGAATCACAAAGGGATCCCGCATTTGCGGGATCCATCATTTGCGGAATTGCATTCCCTAATTGATACGGTCACTATAAATGTTGATAGATAATTGAATAGAAAACAATTTAGGAGAAAATTGTTGATTAGGTACTTCCATAGACACTGATTGAAATAACTGACTTGGTTTTACTGATACCTCATTTCTTTTTGTAGTGAAGGAACTGAGACCTTTACATTTTATTTTTTCTAATGATCTAAAGTTTCTAGTGATTCTAAAAAAGCTTTTATTGACTTGCTATACTCACCTTTTACTATAGTCTGTCCAACAAGAGTGTACTTGAGACTCTTGAGAGTGACAGTAGTATTTTCTGTCATTTTTTAGACCTTTTTTTGTCGAAATCTCCCCCGACTCGTTGGACAGGCTTTTTACATAAAAATATCTACGAACTAAACGATTAAAAATAATTTTAGAGAATATCTTTAGTTAGCAGTTTCGTGATCAGCCTGTTCCTGGGCAAGGTGGCGCCCATAGACCTATCAGACGGTTCTGGCATGAACCTGCTGGATATCAGGACGAAAAAGTGGCATCAACCCTTACTGGACGCGTGCGCACCCGATTTAAAGTCCAAGTTAGGTGAACCAGTTCCAAGTGACACGGATGTGGGCAATGTGTGTTCCTATTTCGTGGACAGGTATAATTTTAACCCCAACTGTCGGATCATTGCGGCGACGGGAGATAACCCAGCATCCCTAATAGGTAAGTGATAATGCGTATGATTTTTTATACAGGGTGTTTCAAAAAAAATGTGCCATCTCTCGTGGGGAGATTCTTCACGTAAAAATAAGATTTATTTTTCATTTTATGGAAAGCACTGTTCATTAAAATGTTGTATCCTGTTACAGGGCTTGTTTCTCTCTACAATTTACTGTCTCACAATGTACCTTTTGTGTCCGGGAAGGGTTCATAGTTTCATAATTGTCGATTTTCGAAAGAAATCAGTACATGTATATTATTTATTATTTCGTGTATTTTTAATTTTATTGATTTTATGAAAAGTACTGTTCATTAAAATGTTGTATCCTATGTTATAGAGCTTGTTTCTCTCTACAATTTCCTGTCTCACAATGTACCGTTTGTGTCCGGGAAGGGATCATAGTTTCATAGTTGTCGATTTTCGAAAGAAATCAGTACATGTATATTATTTCGTATATTTTTCATTTTATTGATTTTATGGAAAGCACTGTTCATTAAAATGTTGTATCCTATGTTATAGGGCTTGTTTCTCTCTACAATTTCCTGTCTCACAATGTACCGTTTGTGTCGGGGAATGGGATCATAGTTTCATAGTTGTCGATTTTCGAAAGAAATCAGTACATGTATAATATTTCGTATATTTTTCATTTTATTGATTTTATGGAAAGCACTGTTCATTAAAATGTTGTATCCTATGTTATAGGGCTGGTTTCTTTCTACAATTTCCTGTCACACAATGTACCGTTTGTGTCCGGGAAGGGATCATAGGGAATCTCCCCACGGGAGAGATGGCACATCTTTTTTGAAACACCCTGTATATCATATACGTAAAGTGGTCTAAACTTTTCAGACTTTAAGTTAGGACATTTATTCTTCTGATATGTTAGTCTTGTGTTATTTATTAGAATGTTTGCAAGACTAGGACTAAGACTACTTAGGAAGAATGCAAGACAAAGACCAAGAGAATCTTGCTTTTAGTCTTGCATCACTACATATTTTCTTTTCAGGTTTAAAACTGCAAGCGGGATGGTTAGCTGTGAGTTTGGGTACCAGCGATACGGCTTTCCTATGGTTAAAAGAACCCAGATTAGTACTCGATGGCCACGTTCTGTGCAATCCCATCGATCCGCAGGAATATTTTGCGTTGCTGTGCTTCAAGAACGGGTCTTTGACAAGAGAAAGGATACGAAACACTTGCGCTGAGGGATCGTGGGACATATTCAACCAACTGTTGGAAAGCACGCCCAGAGGAAACTTTGGAAACCTAGGTAAATGATAAACAACATACTATACGATGGAAAAAGAAATGGCGTGTGTAAATTAGTGTTAATTTTTGACTGTCATTCACCAGGATTTGGTACACTATTTTTGACACCCTGTATAAGTCATTTTAAAAAATAAAATTAATGTTAACTCGGAAATCATACCATGAGTAAACATTATTTTTTACATTTTATCTATACTACATTTTAATATAGTCTATTTAAAAAAAAAGATGGATAGTAAAATTGGGACAGCCTATACAACATTTCTATTTTATATTACAGGTTTATATTACGACGTGGAAGAAATTTTACCATTCCTCAAAGGAGACTATAGGTACAATAAGACGCAAAGCGTCAGTAAATTCTCCAGTCTCGAAGTCGAAGTTCGCGCGTGCGTAGAGGGTCAATTTCTTGCAAAGAGGGCCTACGCAGAAGACTACGGACTCGCCATAGGTAATATCACAGCCTATTTATTAGGCAGCCGGTCGACTAGGCCAGATTTTGAGTATTGCCTTGTGATATTCACTTGCCGCGTCTGTTGTCATACATACATGCACGGTCTCAAGAGTGACTGACTGTTGGTACCAACAAATCCATGTTGATGGACACCCTCTAAGCAGAGTTCCATGTAAATTATCGTCAAGTCGACTGACTGGCTAATTAGTAAAATTTAATAAATTTTATTAAGTTTGTTTATACTTTTTTTTGCGTTAATTCTAGGTAGCGACATTAAAATTCTAGCCACAGGGGGTGCATCTGCGAACAAAGCCCTACTACAAGTACTGTCCGATGTTTTTAATTCCCCAGTATATGTACAGGTATGCATGCGAATTTGACTATTTCTGCTTCGTTTTTTGTCTCTTGTAAAAAATGCGACTTCGCATAGCTTTTAAGAAAAAAAAATCGAAGCTGACATACTATACAGGGTGTTTTAAAAAACATGAAATGCATAGTTTTAGAGTTACAGGATATTAAAAGTTTTTAAAATTAGGTTTTTTGTAATTATCTCAAATACCATTATTTTTTTATTTAAAATTGCTGTAGGTTGAACTAATAGTAATAATATTTAATAATAAATTAGGTAAAATATATAATTTATTAATTTTATTTTTATTTTAATTTTATTAATTGTGATTAATAAAATTGCAGTTATCTCATCAAGGAGGCCAAATTTAATAAAGAATAATAATAATATAATTTTTATCAAGAGATAACTTTTAATTGGCATTAAACAAAAAAAAATTCCAAAGAAAAATTCCAAAAATGCGTAGTAGATCTATTTCCAGGAAACATTTGTTCACCCTGTATATTTGTTCCTTGTAAAAATAATAAAAATCTATTATTATACAGGACGCAGCTAACTCGGCCATGTTGGGCGCAGCTTACCAGGCGAAACAAAGTTATGGAGGAAAGAAATACAACGAGATCATAGCAGCATTACATAATCCAACAAAAGTGTGTGATCCGTATCCAGATGCTCCGGAAATCTACGACCCCATGGTCGTAAGGTTTCGACAAATAATTAAAGAATTAGTGGCACAAAAGAAATAAAAATTTTCAAACAAAACTCTCTAATTGATTTTCTGTAAATAAGTATACGTAGAACTCGTCATTACTATCACATACAGAGTGATTGATAAACAAAAATATATAAATAAAATGCTGTGAAACAGAATTTATCGTTTGACAGGAGTTAATAACTCTATACAGGGTGTCCCAGAAATAAGTGCAAGTATTTTAACGGGTGATAGATCTCGATAAAAGATACATATTTTCTCTTTATCGTCTTCCAAATAAGTCCAAAATATCGGAGTTATTTTACTTTGCGAATTTCCAAAAAAAATGATTTTTTGCTCAAATTTTGAGGATTACCGGATCTTTTCTGGATTTTCTTTCTTGTAAACTTAATCTACTACCCGTGTTGCCATATTATCAAGAAATTATGTTTTTTAACTAAAAACTAAAAAAAAATCCAACAAATTCCGAATTTTCAATTTTTTTTCTGGGACACTTTGTATAATATATATTAATTCAAACGAAGAGAAACATATTTGATATTATTTGCCTCATCTTTAACAATTTCAGTTTGACAGCTTCACATATTGAAATATATACATTATAATAAATATTTTTATACAGATCTGGACATGTTAAATCCGTAGTCTGGATTTTAAGGTGCAAGATAATGATGGAGATAACCTAATGGAAATTCGATTGTGTTAAACAGAGGTAAAGAATGGGCTAATACATTTTCTTCTATGCGGTATTGCCGGTTTTCTATTAAAATATTTATTACCGAATGAACTAAAGTAATTTTGTTGCAATTTTAAAATCCGGTATAATATTTTACATTCTTTTGTGCTCGTTTAATTCAATATTGAATTTTATCTTCCTACATTTCATTGTATCTCTTTATCTTTGTCTTACTCATTAAAACAAGAACTACAGATTTAAGAGGACCAGTTCTGTATAAAGTGTTTTACATCATTACTAATATTTTTCCAGTAATGCTAAGATATGTTTTTATATTCTTGTTTAAAAACAAGTAAATAAAAAATACCTCTTTTGTGGGTATACTCAATTTTGTGTTCAAATTTTTCTTCTACGCAAAATGATCATATTATATTCTGATTGTTAAGCTTTAATGGGAATATTTATTTAAGAATAAACTAATAAAACACATTCCAAATATTAAAAAACATTCCTGATATGACTTCTAAAAAAATAATGTCTTCTGCAATTTTTGTTTAATTAAAAAATTCCTAATAAAACTAGTAGTATATGCACTATTTTTTCCCAGTTTTCCTATTTACTAAGCTATAAAACTTTTTCATGTTTCTTATTTTTTTTTCTCACTGAAAGGTTTAAACATTCCTCATAAAAATATTGAAAATGTACCTAAGGTACTTAGATAGGTAGTACTTAGGATTCTTAGGTAGAATACCTAAGAAAAGTGGCTACACAATAGACATTCTTCCTAACTGTACTGTACTAAGTCTTCCAGCAAGAGAAAGACATCCAAAAATTGTCAGAATAAAAAAATCATACAACTGTCAATGTCTATATTCTCTCGTTAGACAGACTATAGTGCAGGCAAGTTAAAACTACATTGTAAATAATAATAATATATTGTAATATTAAAAGAAATAAAGGACGCTGTGACAATTAATATGAAAATTTAAAGTGTATTATTTGTACCTACATATTTTTGTGATATAAGGTAGAGATGGGCAATAAATCACAACCTGTTATATCTTCAAAGTGAAATAAGAGTGAACGTCCATTTGTAGTTATTAGGAACAGCTATACAGGGTGTCCCAGAAATAAGTGCAAATATTCTAACTGGTAGTATAGTTCAACCCCAGAAACACGCCTATGAGGTTTTTTTTTGCGAAAAAAAAATGTTGAAAATTTAAAATTTTTCTTGACATTCTCCGGGAAATTTGAAAAAACTTTTTAGTGCCGCTTGTTTATTCACCTGAGGTTTCCCTACGGTGTATCTAAACCTTCCAGTGTTGCAACCTCCTATGTTATCCACATTCTCCATAATTCGGCGGAACATAGTTCTACATTTATAAATTCATAGACAAATTTCTACTCAAAAAATCAGGAATGTTAAATTTAATCTTTTATCAGTGCTCATTATTAATAATTATAGAAAAAAAACACATTAATTATTTTTAGTACTTACCCTTTCAATGAAAACTTAACAAAAACCACCGAAAATTAACTAAAACATTACGTTTATGACGTTTACGAAAATCTTTGTTATGCTGCAAAATAACTTTATTTGGGAATAAATTTAATAAAATGATTCATATTATTCACAATCAGGTCACAAAAAGAAATTCCTAAAATGTTTATCGTAATTTAGAATTAAATTCAAGAAATTTAGAAAACAGCCCAACGAATAATCGATTCATTTTTGTTTTGTTTGTTTTCTTTCATGTTTCTCTGTTTTATTTGAACCACTCCTTTACAAAACACCTTGAAAAGCGCACATTACTTTGAATACCTTTCTGAATGAATAAGTGTTGAGAATTATTGTCTCTTATCGCCACTTTACGAGCTACTTTCAATCTAAGAAAATACATGTTTCACTCAACAATTATTGACAACGTATTTTGTTTTTTCGATATTTTTTCGATGTATTTCGACAATTCCATCGACAGCCTAACCGTCAGCCAAGAACTGCCGCTTGTGAACTGGTCCTTTGAGTCGCCGGTCGCCGCGCCGTCGTGGCGGGCTTGCGTCAGACGACGATGTTAAGCAACGTTGCCGTAGTTACAACAATTTCAAATTCAAGACATTCGAGGCAATCAAATTCGTATTAAATTTTAAAAATAATACAGAGAAACATGAAAGGAAATAAACAAAACAAAAATGAATTGATTATTCGTCGGGCTGTTTTCGATGTATTGAATTCTGAATTACGATAAACATTTTAGAAATTTCTTTTTTGTGACCTTATCAATAACCAATTCATTTGTGTTTTGTTCTGTTTTATTTTTAAAATTTAATAAGAATTTGATTGCTTCGAGTGTCTTGAATTTGAAATTGTTGAAACTACGGCAACCTCGCATGACGCAAGCTCGACACGGCGGCGCGACAAAGGAGCAGTTACCAGTGATGCGCCGCTCTCTTGGCCGACGGCCGACGCGACGTTTGGGCTGTCGATGGAATTGTTGAAATACATAGAAAAATAGCGAAAAACAAAATACGTATTTAAAATTGTTGAGTGAAACATGTATTTTCTTAGATTGAAAGTAGTTCGGAAAGTGGCGGTAAGAGACAATAATTCTCAACATTTATTCATTCAGAAAGGTATTCAAAGTAATGTGTGCTTTTCAAGGTGTTTTGTAAATCAGTGGTTCAAATTGTGATGAGGCCTATATGAAATTAATGTGTTAAAAACGGGGACTGTTATTTTAGTAGTTATTATAATAGCATGTACAAGTAAAGCAGCACAGTGAAGTGTATTTTAGTTAAGTGTATATCGAAAAAGAGAACTGTCACAGTTACATCGATCTGTCATAAGTATCTTTTTTAATGTTGGGTAAGTTTTTTAATTTAACTTTTTAACAATATTTTTTAACACATTATTAAACATTTAACTTTTAATTTATTTTACGTAATAATATCACAATCTTAAAAATGTAATGCATCTCTGCAAACTCCTCAGGTGTTGTGATTTTATGACTTACTTTTAACATATACTTTCTTGTCCCTATGGCAACACAGTGCGTCGAATTAACTGAAATCCGGGCTTGATCCGGGTAATTGGATGTAGTTGGCGATATCTGCCGGGGGTTCTCAAAATGTTGCGATTATTTTTTTGAATTTTCAAAGTTAAATAACTCGGTTATTTTCAATTTATTTTAAAAATGGTAAAGAGAAAATATGTTTATTTTGACCAGATCTACCACCCCTTAAAATATCTGCACTCAATTCTGGGACACCCTGTATAAGCAAACCTTATATCCGTGGCGGCTCGTCAGGGTAGGCATTGTTTCGTTTTGATTTTTAAATGGCACCCTCGGTATTTTTTTACTTTATTCGACAGAAAATGACACTCTGAAAAGAATGACATATCAGATGTCAACTTTTGACATTTTCGCATATTGTTTATTTGAAATTGTAACATGCGGTTCATAACGACAATTTGACTCGAAATCGAAATACCCAGTGTGTGGTATGAAATTATTCTTAAAAAATTGCTTTTTCCAAATATGATGAGCCACCCTGGCCCGTTTTAAAAAATTGAGATATGATTAAAAATACGATTTCAGCATTTTCCAGCAACTGACCAGGACAAGACACTAAAAACATTAGATGATCAAGTCTATTTTTCCAATGACTCCTTGATTAAGAGTTAGTGTTTTTAACATAGCCATGGCGGCTCTAGATTGAATTTTAAAATACCTTTTTTAATTAAGCGAGAATGTCAAAAGTTGACATATGATATGTCATTCTATTCGAAGTGTGTCATTCTCTATTGAATAAAGTAAAAAAATACCGAGGGTGCCATTTAACAATCAAAAGTTGTAGTTATTTCCGGTAAAACAGGAAGTGGCCAAAAACAATTGAATACGTCAATCAATCCTAATTTATGTCATATACTAACATACCAAATCTCGTTTTTTTATCTGAAAAAATAAAAGGTTATAGGGGGTGAGCCACTTTTGAGACGCACCCGGTATACCCATTAAATATTGAATTAGTTGGTAAATTATTTGAACCAATAATTAATTTCCCTTAAGTAACTCTTTAAATTGTATCTGTTAATCAGGAAATTCAGAAAAAAATAGTTCTATATATTTCTATTTTTTTACTTTAATAATTCTAAGCCGAAGAATAAAATGACAAACCGCAGTTTTACAATATTAGTTATTCAGTTACACTTTAACTATTTGTTTTTATTAAACTAAAATATTTATCTTAATAACCTTACAAATAAAAATATACGACATTGAAACCTTTTTGTCGAAATTATTTTTTCCTTCCGCCTCTTTCCTTCACCTGAAGTTGAATGACAGCCGCTGGAGTGATGTTGTAATAAGCCAGCGTGTTTGAATCTTTGAAGAACATGCCCTACAATACAATAAACAGGGTTTTACGCGTGTTATTTTTTAATTGACATAAAATTAGATCTAAATTTAAAAATATCTCCACTTACATCAAAGAACAACTTCTGCTTAGCCGGCGGCATACTTATCTCCTCCTGGATCTTAGCCTTCAAATTAGCCACAGACTCTCCCAAGGGTAGAGTAAAATTCAACACTTGACCACTTAGTTTCCATTCGGATTTTTCCGGCATCATCGGGATAGTAACTTTCACCATTACTGGACTCTGGAGATAAGTTAAGTTTAATAAAAAACTAAATATTTAATAGTATTCTCTTTAGTCTTACTGGGTTTCTGGCCAAGAACACCTCTTCGGGTACCAGGGAGTCCTCGTTTCGCATTTTTTTGTTGCTAGGTTCATCATCCAGTTGCACCTCGCTAGGATGCTTCATGGGCATGGTTACTGGAGGACCCATTGGAGGTGGAGGTAGAGGTGTTACAAAACCGGCCATTGGAGGATGTGTTGGAACTGAGAAGTATAATTATTTTTTTATATAACAAAAATCTAACAAAAAAGTATTACTGTCTTTTAATTGTAAAAATAACTGTTCTAAATTGGAATATTACAAATAAACCACGATCTATAAAGACTGGAAACTGAACAGTACCTACAGGCCAATCTGAATAGTCCAGCAGCAACATTCTCTTGAATTAAAGATATCTATAAAGAGACAACATAAAAACTCTTCGATTCTCTCTCTAGAGATATCTTTTATTGATCTTTTATTTGCTGTCTCACAAACTCTTCTATTATCTCTCTAGAGTTCTCTTGAAAGAGAATAATAGAGATCTCTAAAGAGATAGGTAATAAAAGAGTTTACCAGGCAACTAATAATAGATTAATAAAAGATATATCTTATATTTTTTAGAGAGAGAATAGAAAAGATCTCTAGAGAGATAATAGAAGAGACCTCAAAAAATATAATATAAGAGTTAGCCTAACGGCAAATATTAATCAATAATAGATCATGGAAGCGATCTCTATAAAGAGAATAGAAAAAATCTCTAGAATCTCTTCTATTGATTTATTATTGTCGAACTCTTCTATCATCTTTCTAGAAGAAGAATAGAGGACCAGAGGGAGAATAGAGAAAGAATAGAATTCTCTCTCTAAATATACTTCCAATTCTCTCTCTAGGGATCTTTTCTGTGCTCTCTCTAGAGATCTCCCTCTCTCTTCTCTCCACAAAAATCTCTTCTATTCTATCTAATAAAAGAGATATCTAAAGAAGAATAGGAGAGACCTCTAGACCCCTCTAGATGTCTCTCTTATATTGATTTCTCAAACTCTTCTATTATTTCTCTAGAAATCTCTAGAACTCTAGAAGGAGAATAGAAGAGGACCAGAGGGGGAATAGAGAAAGAATAGAAGCAATATCTAGATAGCTAGTAGAAGAGATCTCTAGAGAGAGAATAAAATCAATCTCTAGGGAGATAATAGAAGAGTTCGCCAGACATCAAATAATAGATCAATAACAATCACTAGAAGAGATCTCTAAAGATACGAAGAGATCTCTAAAGATCTAGAGATACTCTCTATTCTCTCTCTAAAGACACTCTGTCTGGCAAACTCTTCAAATATCTCTCTAGAGAGCTCTTCTATTCTCTCTACAGAGATCTCTTCTATTCACTCTCAAAATATTTTTGCTATTCTCTCTCTAGAGATATTTCCTAATAGGGAATATGTTTGAGATCTCTACTATTCTCTCCCTAAATAATATACTTCCAATTCTCTCTTTAGGGAACTTTTCTATGCTCTCTGGAGAGATCTCATCTATTCTCTCTAGAGAAATCTCTTCTATTCTCTCTAATAAAAGAGATATCTAGAAAGAGAATAGGAGATACCTCTAGACCTCTTTAGATATCTCTTTTATATTGATTTATCATTTGCTATCTGTCAAACTCTTCTATTATCTCTCGAGAAATCTCTAGAGAGAAAGGACCAGAGGGAGAATAGAGAAGAGATCTCTAGAAAGCTAATGGAAGAGATCTCTAGAGAAAGAATAGAAGCAATCTCTAGAGAGCTAATAGAAGGGATCTCTAAAGAGAGAATAGAACCAATCTCTAGGATGATAATAGAAGAGTTCGTCAGACATCAGATAATAGATCAATAACAGATCAATAGAAGAGATATCTAAAGAGATATTGATATCCTTTATATTCTCTCTCTAAAGACACTCTGTCTGGCAAACTTTTCCTATTATCTCTCTAAAGAACACTTCCATTCTCTCTACTTCTATTTACTCTCAAAATATTTTATCTATTCTCTCTAGAGATATTCTCTATTCCCTTGCTAGAGATCTCTACTATTCTCTCTCTAAATATACTTCCAATTCTCTCTCTAGGGATCTTTTCTATGCTTTCTTTAGAGAACTCTTCTATTCTCTCCCCAAAAATCTCTTCTATTTTCTCTAATAAAAGAGATATATAGAGAAAATAAGAGAAATCTCTAGACTTCTCTAGAGATCTCTTCTATTGATCTATTATTTGCTGTCTGGCGAACTCTTCTATTATCTCTCTAGAGTTCTCTGGAGAGAGAATAGTAGAGATCTCTAGAAAGAAAATAGGAGAGATCTCTAGGGAGTTATTAGAAGAGTTCGCCAGACAAAAAATAATAGATCAATAGAAGAGATCTCTAGACAGCAAATATCAATGACTGGATGCTGCTTCATTTTTAATTCCTAGAATATCTGTAATATCTTTCCATGTATTTTATTTGATACTCACCCATTAAAGACGGACGCATCGGAGGCATAGGCGGAGCAGCCATCATCATAATCGGCGGTTGTGGAGCCAGAATAGGCTGCGGAGGTACGGTTACAATGGTTGCTTTCGGAGCTTGCAGCTGAGGCGGAGGCGGTGGCTTGATCATCTGACCGGTACCTTTCATCTTACTTCCCCCGGTAACGTTCTTCGGTCCGATTTTTTCCTTCTCCTCGTCCGGCAAGAGACCTTTTACCTTATGGATCTGATGAATTTGCTCTTCCAGAGTAATGTTGGCTCTGGCCGCTCTAGTAGCCGCCTCCACGCTGGAGGTGTGGCCGTCCCAGGTGACCTTCTCGTCTTTGCGGATGTCCTCTTCGCCGATCTTCTTTCCTATGGCGGTTTCCTCGTCGCCCACGCCGAAAATATCGGTACGACGTTCGGCCAACAGTTTCAAGCTGGCCTCGATGGCGGTACCTTGGGCGTACACCGTGTCTTGGTTCATCTAAAATACAAACAATAATTACAGTATACCCTGTTTTGAATCAGAAAATTTTTTTTGGGCAGACGATGACAGAAAAAAGGCAGGTGACGTTCATAACAATCAATTTATTTCACTAAAAAATGTTTCTAATATTTTTTAAGTTAACTATGGAGTCTATATACTAAGGACTGGCAAAGGTTAGTTTTGGGTCGAGATTTCCGCATGTAAGAAGAGTACAATGCGTTTATAATGTACTGAACAAAGAGAGAACAGTAAAAACGTTGCCAAACGTATGAAACAAACCGAGAATCTGTGCACATTGCTAAGAGACGTGGAAGGGGATACAGCAGATTCATCGCGGTCGACCCAGCTTCAGTTTTTTTTCAGCTTTGCGATTTAATTATGTCTCGTGATACTTTATTTAATAACAAGTCGTTTTAATTTTTCCTATAGCTTGTAAATTCTTAAGTGCAACTTAGAAACATTTTTGGTAAAAATAAGTGGAATTGAGTTGGTGTTTGACAGTGGTCGCGCTATTAGAACTCTGAATTCAAAAATCGAAATCCATTATAAATAATTGATTGTAGTTTTTTCAAAAACTTTCTTAATATTTCTGCTATATTTTCTTCGCAGACAGTATGCGAAAATCTTTACAAATAAAAAAGTTTCACGATATAATTCCATTTCAGATGCTCAGAAAAATATCTAATGATTTTATCTAGTTATCTTTGCAAAAAAAAAGTATTTTAAAAAATAATCGGTTTGCAATCGTGATTTTACGTTACTTGACAGAGACCGCGTACCGAAGAAATGTGGCAACGCCGCAACAGCACACCGCCGCATTTCTCTCACTCCGACTTAGTAAGATCCCTATGAGATTTACTTCCACACATGTAAATATCGACCCAAAGGTAAGAATTGCCAGCACGGTATGTCTCAAATAATGTAAAATAACAAGCGTTCTGAAAAATGATAAATATTTGTTATATTGCTTTTGTTTTGTGTTTTTTAAAGTTAAGTGGAGGAAAAATCCAGGGAAAAGTAAATGTAGACCCAGAGAGTAGTATTAGCTAATAAATAATAAAGTTTGTATAACATCCAGTATATGGTACTAAAACTGGAGTAGTTGTAAAATAAAGACATCACACGATAGGTAAATATTAATAGCGTTTAGTACTGTAGAAAGATAAAGTAAAAAAGGTACTGCTTTAAACAAATTAAGATTAAAGTTAATTAACCAACATTTAAATTATAAAATTCAGTAAGTGTTTGTAAATTATTAAAATTATTATTAATTTTGTTTTATTTATTCCTACGCAATATTCATTTTTTTTTGTAAGTTATATTGATAATAATAAATGCAAGAAGTTTCTTGAAGTTTGAAAGTAAGAAATAGTTATTTTTTATAGATTTTCTTGTTTAACACACATGTTTGTTTATCTTGTATTAACACACACCCTAAAATATTTCTTTTATTAAAATAACTGATAGATATTTTCAGTTTAAATAGTTTTTGTTCGTAATATTTTGAATTAATCATTCTAAAATTTTAAATATATTAATTTCCCGCTTTGCAATTCAATTTTATCAACTTATTTTTTTGTAAAATAAAATAAACTACTTTGAAATTAAAATGAGAGACAGACCTACCACCGGCAAGGATTTTGTCGTCTAACAGACTATAGCAAGCTTTATTCAGAAGAATATACAGGGTGGTCCGAACTGTTTTCCGGAAACTTTGGGAGCATATTCTGCTGATAAAAACAAGTAAAAAAGTTCATATAAATGTAGGTTCTAAAATAGTTAGTTTTGGAAGTACAGGGTGTTGAAAATTCATTTTTATTTCGATTTTTTTTCAAATAATTTCTGAAGTAACGTCAATATTTGGATGAAAATTGGTGTCTGGGAGTTTTTTGACATGATAAATTTTATTTTCATGTCATTATCACACCTACTTGTAGAGGGCGCCACCTACATATGTTTTAACTGGTTTGAAGAGTAATAACTTTTCATCCGTACCTGTATAAAACTACTGAGTAAAAAAATGTTTATTTAAGACGATTTTTACGTAAAAAACGTCTCTTGGTAAAAATCTCTTCGAGTAATGGTTCTCGAGATATTTGGAATCGAAATTATCAATACCTGTCATCATTGACATAAATTAAATATGTTGACTAATTAGTTATTAGACTGACATCAAAATTTTTTAATGTTTTTGTGTCAAAAGTTCAACAGAAACTGTTTTATCATCATTTTTTCGAAGAAAAATTTATTATTAATTTAAAAAAATAAAAATTTCTCAAATTTATCATTTCAGTCAAATAACTATCTACTCAACATGTTTATTTTTTGTCAATAATGATATGTATTGACTGTTCCCATTCTAAATATCTTGAGAACGGTTGCTCATAGCGATTTTTACCAAGAGACATTTTTTACGTAGAAAATCACGGAAATGTATATTTTTTCACTCAGTAGTTTTATACAGGTACGGACGAAAAGTTATTACTCTTCAAAACAGTTAAAATCATGTAGGTGGTGCCCCCTACAAAGAGGAGTCATATGGACATCAAAATCAAATTTCTCATGTCAAAAAACTCCCAGACACCAATTTTCATGCAAATATTGACGTTACTTCAGAAATTATTTAGAAAAAATCGAAATAAAAATGTAACTTCTACACCCTGTATCTCTGAAACTAAGCATTTTAGGACATACATTTATACAAACTTTTTTACTTATTTTTATCTGTAGAATATGCTGCCGAAGTTTCCGGAATATAGTTCGGACAACGCTGTATTTATGTATAATTTAGGGTATACTTGTATTCATTTAAAACTTCCCAATATGGCGGACTTCAGTATGGGAGGCTTAAAAAACGAAAATCTCTAGACTGGAATCGACTGTAGTTCAAATCGTTCAAATTGATAATCTGTGGTAAATCCAATTGAACTCTGACACTTGGCTGACATTGACAGACATTGACGTTTACGGTTCCTTTTTCTAAATATTTTCATTATTTTTGAGATTTTATTCACAATTTCTACTTGATTTTTGTTCTTTGTGCAGCCTGCAGTACTAATTATATAGTTATAAGTTATAAATAATCTTTTCACCGATCAAGAACTGAGGAATAGGCTGGAAGATATTCAAAATGTGTAAAACGCTTAAAAACGTATTAGAAAATGTTGACTCGTCCACAAATTCGTGAAAATAAATTAGTCCAGATGTTTGTAAAAAGGTCTCTAATTATTTTGAGAAGTTTCCTCGTATCAGTAATTTTCAGGTTTGTAATATGTATATGATAATAAATAGATTAAAACTTATATTTCAGGAAACAGCGCGGCATTACAGATTGTTGTAAATCAATTTTAAAATATAAAGAAGGTTTAAAACAGGTTTAAAAGTTGAGTTAGTAGAGAAGACTTAAATAAGGTAATGTTGGTAATGGGACCAAAGATCAAATAACACTTGAAATATATAATATGTACAATAATTGTAAGTAGTTTTTATGAATCTGTTTGATATCTATTGCATTGTTTTTATATATTTTGAAATATATATTTTTTTTACTTTACAGGATGCACAAAGAATAATAAAAATACAGTTACTCACTAAAAGCACTTAAGGTTTGTAATAGATGTAGTTAGAATATCAAACACCAAACCAAATCAAAAAATTATGTTTTATTTTACTGGTATTCCTCGCATTTGAAAGGAAAGTAATTTCATAAATAAGCAGGACATTGTATAGTACACCCTATATTAATAATTCTTTTTATCCTATACTTGTTAGTTCACACATTACTTACTAGGTATAAAATTTAGTACTGATTCCAAACCTATAGTTGTGGTTGTGACATATTCTGATGTGTTTCTGGCAATTTAAAATAAGTTAATATTTAAACAAACATTTCTGGCTTTCTTGACAGGAGTGTCATAACATATTTAATAAAGGTATGTGGATAATGTTCTGATTATTACAGTTTGCATGGCTGTTTTTGTATGTTGTTATTTTTAATAAAGTATATTTAATGAGTTTTTGAGTATGTCTTTTTCCCTCAGAGGATTGTGTTCTAAACTTTATATATAAATTTTCATAAATTATATCTACAAAATTTATTACCTTATAACTTTTTGCTAAAGACTTTGTAGTTGAAACAGTTTAACAGTATATAAAAGAACTATTTAAATAAGATGTTTGAAAATATATAGCTGTTATTGCACACATCAATTCAATTTGTGATTAACTGTACTGAAATAAAAACAAATTAAGAGAAATGAGGTAATCTATAAACTATAACATGAAACGAATCATCCTATTTCCAAGTCTTCTATTAATTTCAATTTATTAAACAGCTATAATTATTCAATAATCTTGATAATTTAGGGAACTCTCAGATATCGTCAAAACATGAAAACAAAAAATTCACTTCCTATAGTTCTTACGTCCCTTTAACTGAAATATAAGAAACAGAGTTAATATTCTCACTGAGAAAGTTTATAAAATACCTTTAAGTAAAATCTCTTCGAATCTGCTGTAAAATACCTTTTATTCTTATTAAATAATTTCAATAATCTATGTTTTATTTATGACAACCACCTAATAACCTAACTTTAACGTCAACTTGACAATCCTGAAAAATGTTATTGTTAACCAAAGACTAAATCAATTTCTTACATTTATACAAACTTTTTTACTTATTTTTATCTGTAGAATATGCTGCCGAAGTTTCCGGAATATAGTTCGGACAACGCTGTATTTATGTATAATTTAGGGTAGTATCTATTCAGTTATCTTACCTTATCAGTAACGTGTTTATCTCTTTGCTCCACCCATCTGGGATCCAGCAGACCAATACGCATGTGCTCCTGCACCTTGCTAGCTGGAATTTTCTCCCCAGTGATTGGTGATACTAGATAATCGTCACCAACAGTCGGCCGAGTGACTTTAGGAGCTTGCTTAGGATCGTATTTCTTAACCAAAACTTTATCGGGAACTGGCGGTAGTGGAGGCTGAATTGACGGTTGATCTGAACGTTTATCCTGATCTTCATCATCTGAACTCTCCTCGTCCATATCTTGCACTTGATTATTATCCCTCGCATCTTTTCTGTTCGTATTGGTACGATCTTCCATATAGCTTAAACTTTGATCCTGAAATGAGAGACATATTTTATCAGGGTTAAAAAATAACATGTTATTTGTATTTTTAAACTAAAATTCAAAGTGACACACAAGCTAGGGCGAGACGAGAAGTGGTTAGGGATTAATTTCGGGAGACGATAATGCAATTTTATCGTCGTGTGTAAAACAATATTTTTTTCCGTAGCGAGTTACGTTTTAAAAATTATTCAGAAATTATTATTTCAAGGAATTTATTGCGAGCAGAAAAAATATAAATAAATAAATAAATGCCTTTATTGTCAAAATTTTTTTCAATTTGTAGACAAAGGTAAACTAACAAACAACGTAAAAAAACAAGGTACACAAACACACAAACAAAAGATAATACAAAACATTATACAAATAATATTGTCAGTCTTATTGTTAAAATAAACATTTATAAACGTTTATAATGTCAAAGAACAAAAAAATAAAAATAATATTCAAAAATATTTTGCTAGTTTATAGTAAAATATCAATGACCTCTAAATAAATTCATTTCGATGTCATTAGTAAATATAGCAATAGCAAACATTAGACACCAGTGTTTACAAGATCAAATTTGATTTTCAAAATTTAATTAATTTACGGCGTAGAAAGCCTTGTCTAGTAAATAAGAGTTCAATGCTTTGCGAAATGAAAAAAATGATGTTATGGATTTGATTTCAAATGGCAGGTGATTGTGCATTTTTTTCGAGTTGTATAATATTGAACTTTTAACTAACTCTGAGCGTGGGGTAGGTAGATAAAGATCTTGCTCCGCGTTCCTGAGTGGATAAGTGTGAGATGGCCTTTCTTGAGAAGCTGATACATGTTTACGTATTAGGCAAACGGATTCAAATATAAATAAGGAAGGAAGAGTCAATATTTTTAATTCTCTAAAAAAGCCCCGGCAATGAGTTCTGCTGTTTAGTCCCAGTGAATATCGAACAGCTCTCTTCTGGAGCTTGAAAATGCGGTCAAATTGAGCCGCACAACACGTACCCCAGAATGGAAGGGCATACCTGAGGTGCGACTCAAAAAGTGCATAATAAACAGTTCTAGCCACTGACAAGTTAAGCTCCTTAGAAACAGACCTTAATGCAAAACAGGCAGAGCTCAATTTTTTCGACAAAGCTTCGATATGTATGTCCCATTTCAGAGAATTGTCCACAACAAGCCCTAAGAATTTTACGGATTTTACGACGTCAATGGTGGTGTTGTCAAGTACAAAAGGCTGCAACGAGTTTTTATACGACAAAGCCTTAGTTTTAGAAATGTTGAGACTCAGGAGGTTCGAATCGCACCAAGATTTAATGGTGATTAAGTCATTTGATATAATCCTATGAAGTGCCGTGATGTCCTTGTTGCTCCAAGTGAAGCTAGTGTCGTCCGCAAAAAGACATATTTTGCCACTGATGTTTATGTTAGCAATGTCGTTAATAAAAAGAAGAAACAAAATAGGGCCTAGTACTGAGCCTTGTGGTACTCCACATTATATTGTGCTGGGTTGGCGTTGGTTTCTATGTAATTTGACAAATAAATAAAGCTGTCTCTTTAGTTGTCAGTTTTGAGTCAATATTTTTAATTCTCTTTCGTGCCGATTGTTGATTGAATTGAGCCAAAAAATGGCTCAAAACGAAATAAGTAAATTACCAACAGATATACAGGCTTATCCAAACTACTTCCATTTAAATCCCGAATAACTTAATCAAAAATGGAAGCAGTTAAAAACGTGCGAGAAGAAATAAAGTTTCCTAAAATAACCTATCCTCGCTGTTAAAGTATCATTAAATCTACCCTTGCGGTTAAAGTCCTACATATTTTATCTACTATTTTTGATAGATATAGTCTATAAAACGAATAACTTTGAATTTTGACAGTTATTTTTACCAACTTGGCAAAGATAAAAAACCTCTATCAAAAAAAAAGTTACTGAAATTCTTTAAATTGAGTGCCTGAATGAATCAGATAGGTAACTCTTTTTACTTTCCTGAAATAGAAAAGGAAAATAATAAAACAAGTGACAGTTCTTCCCAATGACTAAAGAATCCAAGGACAATAACACCCGAGAGTAAATTGTGACGATGCCATCAAACAGTGCCGTGGCACATATTTTTCTTAACCTAGCTGTTTGAAGCAATATTTATATTTTTTGATAATTGTTTTGACTACGCCTATGGTGTATCATCCTAATTAATTACGAAAAAAACGTATTAAAATGTTAACAAAAGGTACAAAACTAGTATCGACGTATAGTACATACCAAGTACATATAGATATTAATTGAAATTGAAGAATAATTATCGAATTCAATAAGAAAACTAAGGAAACGCTAAAAAGTTGGAGTGGACTGTTTATTTACCTATGAAACGTAACTCCTGGCTCTTTCTTATCGCTGCTGCTTTTACACTTGAAAACTGAACAACTAATCACCATTATAATAAAGTTTATACAAAGTTTACTACACACAAACTATTAAAAATAGCTAAAATTGTCGCTGGTGACCAAATGATGACTCATTGTTTGCCACCAAAACAAAAAAAAAGGTCATAAATTCTGCTGCAGCCCGTATAGGGGCGTTACATGTCCTTATATTCTTTAGCCATTGGTTCTTCCTCTTCTTGCAAAAAATCAACACGAAATGTCATAATTGTCAAAAGTAAAATATCATCAGCTTTTGACATTTCTAAATATCAGGCCCATGCCGTCTCTAATAGAACAGCCTCGGAGCGAGATTTATGACGTCACGCTAGTTAGAAAAAATAGTGTCGAATATAATCCAAAAAATTACATATAAAATAATCACACCACATAATGTTTACTGCAATTAATAAACTAATATAAACTTGTCAAAAGATGACCACATATTTTTTTAAATTATTATTCTTAACACTAACTGCACTATCTACATTGACTATGGAGTACGATTTCAGCCATAGTCGATGTAGATATTTTTAGCGTTAAGAATAATAATTTTAAAAAATATGTGGTCATCTTTTGACAAGTTTATATTAGTTTATTAATTGCAGTAAACATTATGTGGTGTGTGGTGTGAATATTTTATATGTAATTTTTTGGATTATATTCGACACTATTTTTTCATATGACACAACACTGATGAAGGCTATAATGTTAGCCGAAACGTTATTTTTTTAAACCAAAAAAAAATAATGAAAAACCAAATGAAAACTTAATCAGCATTTTTCCCGAACCTAAACCCCAAGAAAATCAAAAATCTTAGAATAATTTTACATATAAAATGACAGCGATCTTTATTTCATAGCCATCGCTGACGCCTTTTTTCTATGATATTGTATTATTTGCAAATATAATTTTTCGAACATTGATACTTGCAAAATATACATATAAATTTTGTGAATGCAAATAATAATACATCACTATTAGTAGATATTGAATGTTTTTTGTTAAAATAAATCGATTTTCGAATCACACAATTTTAAATATATTTTACATTTTACCCATTATCTTATGTACCTATTCATTATTTGTATATTGTAAAACATTTACTGCATTTGTATGGTTCATAGTTTATTTGCCAATGTATTTATTACTATAAATAGGTATATATATTGTATTTATTAACTGTATATTATGTATATTTCATGTAAACTATATCATTTTTAAAATACAAACCAAAAATACGAGGAATAATTATGTTTCCCATGTATTCTACAACATTTTTATTAATCCGTAGTATCTAAATAGCGTGACGTCATAAATCTCGCTCCGTGGCTGTTCTATTGAGACAGCATTGCGTCAGCATGGGCGCAAGTTTCTAACCTAATAAAATTAACACCAGAAAAGCCCGCGGGAACTGTCAAATTCAAACTTATTCGTTTCTTACTTATATAGGTACTTATATAAGGCAATTTTAATAGTTGATATGGAAAAAATAATAAATAACATAAAATAAGCTCAGTAAAGTGTGTTCAAAATGTTCAAATGTGTCAAATGAATCTTCAAACAGAACTGTCAAGGATCCCCACCCTAGAGTCCTCTTTCTGTCGACCATGCATGAATAATTGTATAACATTATACTCCTTTCTTAATCTTTTTTTAACTTTTTTAAACACTTTTTAACAGGTTGTATTGTTTTAAACACTACTCTATTTAAAATAGCATTTTAAATATGTTTTAAACAAATGTTTAAAACATAAAAACCCTGTTTTTTACCTAATAAAAAATTATAAATATGTATTTTCTTGTTACTTACCTCCTGACCACCATCTTCTTCGTCGCTTTCCAGTTGCATCTCAATATCGTCCCCATCTTCAAGCCGTTCTTGAATTAGAATTCTTGCCCCCACCTCTTCCGGTGTTGTGGGAGGTGGAAAATTTCCAATTTCAAACGGCTGATAATCGACAGTTTCAACAACTACAAAATCATGCCAATCGATTTGAGCGTACGCGATTCTTTCTCTTTCCAATATCTCTTCTTCTTTGGCTTTCTGGGCTTCCTGGTACTTTTGCCATTCCGCCCGGTACTTCACCTGTTCCAGAACGGTTTTGGTACTTCTGACTTCCTCTTTCAGTTTTTGTTGCATCGTTTTTGGTGGGATTAGAACCTATTCATAATTATTAAACATGGTGTAAATGAATGAAAAGTCAGTAAATTCAGGATGATTCTTATTCTAAAATTAAGAGGGATTCAATAAGAATAAAATCAATAAACAACAGAAGCATGTTATTTATTCAATGTTTTTCAGTGTTCAAATTATTTGGAAAAAATAGAAATAACAATGAAACATCAATACCCTGTATCTCCGGAACTAAACATTTTAGGACATTCATTTATACAAACTTTTTAACTTATTTTTATCAGCAAAATATGATGCCAAAGTTTCTGGAATACAGTTCGGACCACTCTGTATAGAACACAGTGTACCCTCAAATATCAAAGAATAAAATATAGGTATTTTCATACATATTAACATAATAAAAAAATAATCAAACAGTACCTAGTTTAAAAAAATATGATCTCAAAACTTCAATGTTCATGTTATAGTTATTCAGATATTTTCATAACATTGCTTAAAAAACTTACCTTGGTGTATTGTTCCAGTAACTTGGTAAAATACTGAAACAGTGAATGTTGAGGTCTCAAAAAATCAAACTGAAAGTTTCTCTGTTCACGATTCATGAGTTGTGTTAGAAAAGCTCGTCCATTTCTTGCCACAAACTGAGCAGTCAATTTTACTATATCCAAATCCAATGCTGATATAGATGGTGGATCAGCTATAAATTCAAACTCAGAAGGTGGATCTTTAGGAACAAAAGGCTGTTCCACTTGTTTAAGTATTTCATGCTGTTTCTGTTGGGCACTGGCCGAAACAGTGAGCTTGGACACACCATGTGATATGGTCGGTTCTTGACCTATAAAACCAATTATTCTTTTGTAATATTTAAACGAAAATTTATCAAAAGTTTATTACCTTTCCCCTCCTTAAATTCGTTAACTTTATGCTGATAATAGGCATGATAGGGATCTCCGGTATTTAAAAAATTAAACTTTGGATTTCCCAATTCGTTCTGCCGGATTCTGGCTTCAAATTCTGGACCATTTCTAGCTACAAAACTAGCAGTTTTGTCGACTATGTCTTTTTAAAAGTATAAGGACAAAATATAATTAATAAGGCATGTTTGAAAATACGTTATACTACCTTCACGTACACCAACAGCTTAATTAAAGCAATTTTTACCAACGTATGTTTTCACAATAGTTACTAAGAGGGTTTTTTGTGTAAAAGGATACTTCTAACTTCCGGGGGCGGATAAATAATGCCCACCACTGGATTTGTGGGGGCAGACTCTTCCGTAGCAGCATTTGCTACTTCTAAAGGAGGCATCTTCAATATTCAACTAACAATGTAATAAAAATAAGGCTTTTGATTAGATTAATTGTTTTTGTGGCGCTATACCTGACAAGCTTCTATTTATTAATATAAATCTATAATTATTACAAAATTACAAAATCGGCACGAAATCATGTCCATAACAAGTACACAAAAGAGTCTGTCAATGTCAAATATATTTGACAGATGACAGACCTAAAATACGAAAAACAAAAAAGAAGAGAAAAATCTATGTGAAATCTATGGTTATCCAGGTTTAAATCCTGAAAAATTAAAAAAGAAGAAGAACATTACTTTAAATCTGTGGTAACGGCTCTTTTAAGACCCGAGAAACAAAAAAGAAGAACGTTGCAGGTGGCGCCATCGTGGAAAAAATGAGAAAATTTTGAACTAAAGTAATTCCAACGTTGCCAACTAATCTAAGTCAATATTTTTTAAGTTGAAAATGGATTGAACCGTTACAAAGTTATGATAAATCTAATAAACACATAATACAAAGGTTGTTTCAGTAGAAAAAATAATATATTTTCTTTTGGACACAGCGTTATTAAATTATTAGTGCAGCAAAAAATTACCATTCTGTTTTGTACAATCTGACAACGTTGACGTACGACATTTTTCGTTTTTAACAGCAAGTCGTTATGACGCTCTTACAATTTTTCTGATTTTTTAATAGAAAAAGTGATTTTTCTGTGCTCTATTTGAGTTTATTCTGTTCCTTAAGGCCTGTTTAATCTCCTGAAAATGTAAGTACTCATTATTTTGCCTGTTTTCCATAGATTTTTTTCACTTTCAATTACATCATCGTTAAAGGCATATATTTTTCCAATTTTCATAATTTTCTTTTTCAGAATCGAGTATATGGAAATACAAATACATTTCTTGATGTCTCTATTGTACAATAAGAATAAAGTTACTTAGAATATTGCTTCATATTCAGAAATACTTGTTGAAATATTAGAAATACTTGATGTTGAAATACTGTTTTTCGGCCATTTTTTTTATGTAGTTTCGAGATGTTTTTTATTTCTAAAGTTTTTTGTTTTGGTGTTTGTTCGTTCAGGCAATGAAGTATTTTCTACGTCTTTTAGAATAAGCCAGTGTTAGTATACCTAAAGGGGCTTTATATACATTCTGAATAATTACATAATATTATCAGATTAAAAATTGTTTTCACATTTTTAACGTCGCCATATTGAACAATTGAACAAATTTGCATTGTTTTAATATTAATACTATAATTTTTAATTTTCTTTTTTAGGAGTGTTATTAATAATACAGACCCAGCACCTTAAGAACACCTAAAGAAGATACTTTGATTGACTTTTTAGAATAAATCAGTGTTAGTATACCTAAAGGGTTTTTACATTTTCAATAATTACATAATACTTTGAGATAAAAAATTGTTTTCACATTTTTAACGTCGCCATATTGAACAAATCTGCATTGTTTTAATATAAGTGCTTTAATTTTTAATTTTCTTTTTTAGGAGTGTTATTAATAATACAGACCCAGCACCTTAAGAACACCTAAAGCAGAGACTTTGATTGCTCTTTATATAATTCTGATGTTTGGCGATTATTCTGGTTTACGAAATTGGTTTTCTATTATTCGATTAAAAGTAAGTTTATTTAATTAGTGAAAAACAATTTTAATAAATTTATTAAATGTTTATTAACAGACTAACTATATTTTTCAAGATATATTTAATTTTAATATGAACAATAAAAAATGAACACAATTATTAAGCATAATAATTAATGAAATGTAATATTATTTATTTCTTTTTTTGTAGATTTCCTGCAAGAAATCATTAATTGTATACAGTTCCAGGGCAGTACATTTATCCTTTTCACGAATATTACCAACAATGCATCAGGACTTATAAGTATATCTAAAATTTTATTTCTCTCAGCTAAATATATTTTCACTGGTTTTTAATGTTCATCAATGGATTTCATGATTTCAAAATTTAATTAAACAAAAAAAAAATTCGAACGAGTCCCTGAATTACATTTTTATGGTTCCTTATTATCATAGCCAAGTTCTTAACTTTTGGCATTTTTGGTTGAATACTATATCTACTTAGGAAACTTTAGTCCAATTTTTTTTGTTTACTTTCATTTCTTTATAATAACTTGACTCCCATATTTTCTTGATTATAGGAATAATACTATCCCTATTCATCAATTTTATAAAATATTCTTTTTTTTTTAATTTCTACAGGTTTTCTATACCATCTACTTAGAATTTTACTTCATGTTGTTTTTGATTAACTTTCTTTTCTCTACAACAGCTTGATTCCCATATTTTATCCTTTGTGGGAGAATAATGACATCATTTATTGATTATATTTAATATTCCCCTGTATTTGTATAAGTCTTCCTTTATTTGTATTTTATTATGTTATTATTTTTCTATACTACTCTTTGCTTGTGCCATTTCTTGCACAGAATTTTAGTTTTGATGGATTTTTTTCGTGTTATTTTTCTCAGATCATATGCCACGAATTGCTGTAATTATACGGACTTTGCTTGTGTTTAAATATAATTTAAACACACTATAACACAATTAAAAATCTCAAAATTAGGACCAATTCCTGGCGCATTTGCCATTTACTCAAAAAACCTGACTCGTCCACAGAAGTTACTTCTATTTTTCTAGCATTTTTCCAATGAATTTTCCTGAGCAACATCGACTCCAGAGCATCATAACTAGCCTCCCCTAAGAGGAGGAGACCCGGGTCACTCCCTAACCCTGATGTTCGGGCATCGATGACCTGTGTAGCATGCAGAGGTACCCAAGGGAGTCACCACCCTCTGGTTTACGAGCTAGGTGTTCTTACGCTAGAGGCTTCGGCCGGATACGACCTGACACCCAAGCTCCGAGACTTCTTCGTGCACGTATTCCGTGACCCTCGAAGAGGCAGGGGGCGGGATATCGGACACATTGAAGATGATGAGGGGGGTCCGCCTGTAGGGGGTCCCGGTGGATGTCCGCTCGATGGGTGACGAGGGTGACCCGAGACGAGGCTGCTTAGCTGGGATGGGAACTGACTGGTGAGGCTTAATCGTCGGACAAGGGTTAAATCTGATGAAGGGAGGCGACCTTATATGCTTTGGGGGATTTTTCTTTACACACTTCAGTCATATTTTGACTAAAAATTCGTTAGAGGTGGCTAAGCATTTTTTTCTTTTTTTTCCTGTTCTTATTGACTGTATACTTCTTTATTTTTTAATATCATCTAATACTTTTTGCTTCATCTTGCTTTTAGCCTACCTCTCTCTACTTTTGTCTGCCATATTTTCTTTATTATGAGAATATCCTTCATCAATTCTATATATTACATTCTTCCAATGACTGTCTTATATATTTGTATATTTTCATGTCTTCATGACATTTCCCCTAATTTATCTCCCATTTTTATGCCAATTTTTTGAATTAATCATGTCTCTCATATTTTCTTCCTTATGGAAATGCCATCATTTTTCAAATTTCTATAAACTCTTGTGTAAAAAAATTGATTGTATTTCTGTAATTTTTTATATATATTTCTATACATTTTTTGTGTCATCTTCTGAGATATATTTCATCATTTCTATGACCTGTATAGAATTATAGGATTTTCTAATTTATTTTCAAGCCAGTTTTTCGATGCATCATATCTCTATTTCACTATTTGTCTCTTTCATTCTGGGGGGTGCAAAGCTAGTTCGCCTCCACGTGGTGCACCCTGGGTAACGCTAAATGAACTAGCAGAGACTGGCAGTCAGACGATCTTAGGATCTCCTCTTCATAAGACATATTTCCAAAGTTTCACTTTTCTTTAAGAGATATGATGCTATCAAACACGGCAAAGGGTCTTTCTCTACATTATTTTTCTTCTGTATTGATTGTATTTCTAAATCTCTTCTTTTATGTGTATTACTTCTTATTTTACTGTAATTCTTCTAAGACTTCCAACTTCCAAGTCTTTGATTTCTTTGCTATTGATGCCTATATGGAATTCTATAGTTTTCGATTCATTTTCTAATTGTTATTTCTTTCATTCCGTTTTTAATTCCTTTTACAATTGAGTTTGTGAATGGGATATTGTACTGCTTTGGAACAAGGATTTTATAGGACAGCTGCACTTCAAGACAACCATCCTCTTCAAGATCTCAAAGGATGATTAAATTCAACATTCAACAGTGGAGTGAGGATGAAATTCATCACCGAGGAGGAACTAAATAATTTTATGTAAGTATATATAATAAAATGTTTTTTTTCTAAATCAAATATATTTAATAACTACATTTTTTTTATTTTTTTAAGATATATAGATATAAATTATGATGGAATGTAATACCAAAGTAATACTATTTATTTCTTTTTTACAGATTTTGTTGAACAAATCGATGGATGTATACAGTTCCAGGGCAGTACATTTATCCTTCTCATGAATATTACAATGCATTAGGACTTATACGTATATCTAAAATTTTATTTCTTTTGGGTAAATATATTTTTACTGGTTTTTAATATTCTTCAGTGGATTTCATGATTTTCTAAATTTAATGAAGTAGGAAAAAATTCCATTGAGTCTCAGAGTTACATTTTTATGGTTCCTTATTTTTTTAGACAAATTCAGAGCATTTATTTTTAATTTGAGCCAATTTTTGGCTTTTGGCCACTTCTTATTCTCTTTTAGGAGACTACTCCCATATTTTCTTAATAAGTCTTCTTTTATTTGTATTATTTTTCTTAATTTCCGGTCAATTCCTGGCGCATTCGCCATTTATTTAAAAATCCTGACTCGTCTATGGATGTCACTTCTATCTTGTTTGTCATTTTTTCCAATGAATTTTCCTGAGTAACATCGACTCCAGAACATCATAACTAGCCTCCCCTAAGAGGAGGAGACCCGGGTCACCCCCTAACCCTGATGTTCGGGCATCGATGACCTGTGTAGCATGCAGAGGTACCCAAGGGAGTCACCACCCTCTGGTTTACGAGCTAGGTGTTCTAACGCTAGAGGCTTCGGCCGGATACGACCTGACACCCAAGCTCCGAGACTTCTTCGTGCACGTATTCCGTGACCCTCGAAGGGGCAGGGGGCGGGATATCGAACACATTGAAGATGATGAGGGGGGTCCGCCTGTAGGGGGTCCCGGTGGATGTC